TTGATAATGTTATTTTTCTAGTGTCTCTGTGTGATGAAAATTATACTGCCTTTCACAAGAAATGATGGTGCATAAAATAGAAGCTTTTTAAGACTGAAACTTCAAACCTAATTGTAATCATCAGTCTACAACTGATTCAGAGATAGTAGGAACTGCAGATGGTGGAGAATCCGAGATAACAAGGTGCAGAGCTGGATGAACACAGCAGGCCAAGCAGCATCATAGGAGCAGAAAGGCTGACGTTTCGGGCCTAGACCCTTCATCAGAAATGGGGGAGGGGAAGGGGATTCTGAAATAAATAGGGAGAGAGGGAGAGGCGGATAGAAGATGGATAGAGGAGAGGATAGGTGGAGAGGAAACAGACAGGTCAAAGAGGCGGGGATGGAGCCAGTAAAGGTGAGTGTAGGTGGGGAGTTGGGGAGGGGATAGGTCAGTCCAGGGAGGACGGACAGGTCAAGGGGACGGGATGAGGTTAGTAGGTAGGAGATGGGGGTGCGGCTTGAGGTGGGAGGAGGGGATAGGTGGGAGGAAGAACAGGTTAGGGAGGCGGGGACGAGCTGGGCTGGTTTTGGGATGCGGTAGGGGGAGGGGAGATTTTGAAGCTTGTGAAATCCACATCGATACCATTGGGCTGCAGGGTTCCCAAGTGGAATATGAGTTGCTGTTCCTGCAACCTTCGGGTGGCATTGTTGTGGCACTGCAGGAGGTCCTGTAACTTCTGTAGGAACTAACTATGAGCCATTGCGTAAACCAGTGAGTCAGCAAACAGTATGTTGTTTTGAATAAATCTCAGTCACAATGCTAGGATATCGTCAGGAGTCTGATTGTTGCAGGGAAGTAGAGTGATTAAAAACAAGCCAAGGAAAGTAAGTGTAGTACATGTTGCTTGGTTTAGGTTGTGCTGTTTAATTTAAGGGTATGTAAAGGAAATTAGCAGGCTAATTAGTATAGAGGAATTCTCAGGTGAGAATCAAAATTCTCTGAAGAAACATAAAAGATCTATTGCACAACACCAAGAAACAGATATTTACCAAGGCTAGAGAGGATGATAGATTTTCTGTTTGAACCTGTAAACTATTGAACATATACTGTTATGTGCTAAGTATTAATCTATTTTTCCGAACCAACCTGTTACAGTGATGGTATTACATACCTCTGGAGCATGTGGGACTTGAACCAGAGCTTCCTAGTCTAGAGGTAGGGACATTACCATCACACCAAGACTTGAAACCAGACAGACCACCTAACATCAACCTCGGTACTGGAAAAGATGACAGAAACACCGCTGTCGACTTTGCAAGGCCCTCCTTACTAACATCTACTGTCAACATTGGGACAGCTGTCTCACACACTAGTCAGTGGAGTCACTGGTAGATCGGGTGGTGAGGAAGGTGTTTGGCACACTTGTTTTCATTGGTACTGAGTATAGGAGTTGGGATGTCATTTTTTTCTCTTCATTCACAGGATGTGGGCATCTCTGGCTAGGCCAGCATTTGTTGCCCATCCATAATTGCCAAGAGGGCAGTTAAGAGTCAACCACATTGCTGTGGGTCTGGAGTCACATATATGTCAGACCAGGTAAAGATGGCAGTTTCCTTCCCTAAAGGACATTAGTGAACCAGATGGGATTTTCCTGACAATTGACAATGGATTCATGGTCATCATTAGACTCTTAATTCACATTTTTTTAAAAAAATGAATTCAAATTCTACCATCTGCTGTGGTGGGATTCAAACCTGGATCCCCAGAACATTATTTGGGTCTCTGGATTAACAGTCCAGCAATAATACTACAAGACCATTGCCTTCCCTTGTTGAGGATGTACCGGACATTGCTGAGGCCACTTTTAGAATACTGCATTCAATTCTGGTCTCCCTGTTACAGGAAAGATGTTGTTAAACTTGAAAGGGTTCAGAAAAGATTTACAAGAATGTTGCTGGGATTGGAGGCCTTCAGCTATAGATAGAGAATGAATAGACTGGGGCTTTTTTCCCTGGAACATCGGAAGTTGAGGGCTGACCTTAAAGAGATTTATAAAATCATGAGCGGTATGGATAGGATGAATAGCTGAGGTCTTTTCCCCAGGGTAGGGGAGTCCAAAACTAGGCGGCATAGGCCTTATGAGTCGGGTAAGATTTAAAAGGAACCTGAGGGGCAAATATTTCACGCAGAGTGTGGTGCGTGTATGGAATGAGCTGACAGAGGAAGTGGTGGAAAGGACTGAACAATTGCAAAGCCAGTGACAATGGCCTTCCAATCAGTACAAGAGTGTTCCTCCAAATTCTGAATGTCAGCGGACAAAATAGGATACAGAATGTCTGGAATCTTCAACCCCACAGAGTTATCGACCAATTGGACACAGTACCACACCTATGTTGATGGTCTGGAGTACAGACTCAGAAAATAGTTTACAGATAGGAGTTGGTTGAGACCGGGTGTCTGGTGGATGACATGGACGCAAGTAACTCAGGGTCATGGAGCCTGAAGTGATGGTGAATGATGGCTCAAGTGAAGTAGAGTCGGTTAATGATGAGGAATCCTGAAGTAACCGGTGCGTTGTGAATCCAGGGTGTACATCCACTGTAGGGAAGCCTGCTGCAAGCCTGGAAAATGGCACTGGGATGGCTCAAAGGGAGAATAAAACTGAAGCACCCAGGGTTCCGATCATGTAACTCCTAAAGACCTGACCATCTCAGACTCCAATATGGGTGACCTGCCACAGAGTCTGTGTCCCTTCGAAGGTACCAGTACAGATAAGAAGCTGTGAAGGTCCTTGAGCAAATAGTGGATATCACCCCAATATTTATCATTTCCCAGCTGTGATACATAAAAAGAACACTGCCACTAAGGTGGACCCAAGCATTCTAGTCACCAAGATGCAATTGAACCTGCTAATCACGCAACTACTTAGCAAAATGTCATTGTGCACTATGTGTAGTTGCTGGGTTGTTAAGTCTCAAGCAGGAAAGTTTTAAATGGAACTTCCAGCAACAGATGGTGACAATGCAGGAGGGTGCCAAATAGGGAAGCTGAAGCAGTCAAACAGACCCTCTCTGAAGAAAAAAGGTGCCTCCATGACGTAGGCCTTATGGGGTGAAGGATCAGATAGACATGGGTTTTCGTCAATTAGATGTAAAGTAGAAGCTTAATTCCTTGTAAATGCTGTGTATTCTTTTATTATCTTTCACTTCCCTTCATGTTTATAATGACCTAATGGCAATGCAATAAAGAATCTTTGCTTAATGATCTTTGGGCTGTCCCTGTGTTCAAATCTCATGTTACAGTACTGAATGGCAGAGCAGACACAAGGGGTCAAGTGGCCCATTCTCATTCCCTATTCATGCGTTTGTATTATATTTTGAAGCGCAGGGACAACAATATCAGTAAGCAGTAACGTAAGTACAATTTTTTAGCTTACATAATGCAAACCAGACAGTTAAAAGCACTTAAAATCCTTCACTTTTAATTTAAATATTCAAATATTAAATTTGAATGACAGTATAAAATAGAAACTAAAATGTGATAAACAGACTTTTAAAAATGTTTGTCTTTGAAAATATGTGGAATGTTTTAATTTCTTTGGAGAAATTTGAAATTCTACAAAGATAAAAGCAACTGGCAGTTTAGCATCAATTATGAAGTTAGTACACTCTTAAAAATGCAGTTGCAACTCATTGAGCAACATATAACATTTTTGAAGGTTTCTGCAGTGAAATTAATAGTGTTCCTATTGTAGTTCCATGATTCATGAATGATATGGAAGTTGCAGTTTTGTGAGCCTCTAGAGTGCATCCAGTGGAGGAGGTTAGTCTCAACTGACAACAGCTTCTGGGTTTCCATGTTATTCTGAGCATATGCAGAAGGTGCTGTCAGTGTCAGTTGACTAATGATGGCAAACATTGACAGTTTTATACACCAAGATTTGATTCATTGTCTCCTATTAGATAGGATTTGTCTCTTTTTAAAACTTTCTTTAAATGTACTTCTGACCAAGCTTTTGGCTAAATATAATAATATTATTTTATTTGCTGGCTCTCTGTCACTCATGCTTTGTAATTGTTAGTTGTTAACTGACTACAGTTAGAGGCTGTAGTAGTTGTAATGAGGTCAGCCAGGTAGATCTCATAGAATATGAGTTCCCTAATTGGGGCTGCTCATTTGGTCCAATCAGGGAGCTCTGACTGACAGATAAGAGCAGGACTGTTGGACATCCTGTTCACTCTGAGAGCTGGCTCTGAGGGAGATGAATCAGTGTCAAGGACTCTCCACGTATAAATAAAGGGGGACTTGGTGATGGGATATCAGCCTCTGTGAGGTTATTTCAGAGGAACTATAAAATTACCAACTGAGGTTGTAATTACACTGATAAACAGAGAGTTTTGATGCATCCTCATTTTGAATAAATAGTAAAATAAACACAGAGCTACTTTAACTTAACAGTGACCAAAATAAACATTTATACAGATGTCTTCCTGGATTAAAAACAAACAGAATACAACATTTATCCATACTTTCAATTGCTATTGTTAGCATTTGGTATACAAATTTAAGAGTAGATAATTGGCCTGGTTGAAGAACAATCCATTCTATATGATCCTACATTTTGAGAAGGTTGCTGAAGAACAAAGGTCTTCATATATTACAACCATGACTGATATTACTATTAATTGGTTGTAAGACATTTGGCACATCCTGGGGCTGTGAACTCTGGTATGTCATTGAAAGCTTTGTCTCTTGTGTTGCAATGGTAGTGTCCCTACCTCTGAGCAAGGAAGTCTGAGTTCAAGTTCTTCCTGCTCCAGAGATACGCAATAACATATTTGAACAAGTTAATTACAAAATATCTATAGTTGCACATTTCTTTTTCTTCCTCATGTTGGTAAATGTGTGAATCAAATTACTCTTTCATTTGGCTGCGTCTTGAGTAAGGCTTAGGAAAGAAAGAGGTTAGGAATAACAGGGATTTCCATTCTTCAGCCTACATCAAAAGATTTTCTTACCTGCCGCATTTTAGTGCCTGACATAGATCCACTGTGGTCAATCACAAAGACGACATTTTTAGGGATTCTGGTTAGATTTGCAGGAGCAAAATGGTGGACAAAATATCCATTTATAATCTGCAAAAGAATTTCAACATTAATAAATCAGAGTAAAGGGTCCAATGAGATGTCTATTTTAAATATAATGTTCAATTACCTGAACAGTACCGGCAGACAGGTCTCTATGGACATCGTACTCTATGATGAAGTCTCCATCCAGAATAGTCTCATCACAGTCAGGACATTTGCGCTGTTGCTCAAGAGTTGGTTTAAAGGAAATATGGCCCTGAATGAAGCAGTGATGCAGTCAATTTTTGCAGTGACTGTTTAACTAAAGATTTTTTTTAAGTAATGGCACGTACCTACCTTTGTTGCAGTCAGTGTCTTTTTCACAATTGACGTCAGATTATTTGGTAAGAATTTTGCATCAAAGTCCAGAAAGGCAATGCCTTGTGGTTCAAAGACATGTACATCAATCTGGAAACAGCAATTCAAAATGTAAGAGAATTTAATTGTTGTTAAACAGGAAATAATAGCCACAGTTAAAATATATTAATTGTGTTACTATTTTAGAAATATACCTGAAAATGTTTGACAAGCTGCTTGGGTTTTACTCTGATTTGCATTTCATATTTCCCCAGATTACGTTTTAATAATTCTTCATAAGTTAGTTCAAAGGTGACTTTTTTGGTTGCTCCAACATTCACTGACACTTTGAACTTCTCCATTTTTCTTCCAGATGCTCTTTGGAAATCAGAAAAAATAACACAATTTAAAAATTGCTGTTACATACCTGTAACATATCGAGGTAGAAATTTTTTTTATCTTCTTATCATATTACTGTTACTTTGTGACGATCACATCATTACAATGAGGGATGCATAAAAAATATCCAATTTTGAATGGGGCATAAGCAAGACTTGCAAGATTTACAAGGATGATGCCAGAGTTGGAGGGTTTGAGCTGTAGGGAGAGGCTGAATAGGCTGAGGCTATTTTCCTTGGAGTGTCATAGGCTGAGGGATGACTTTACAGAAGTTTATAAAATCGTAAAGGACATGGATAAGGTGAACAGTCAAGGTCTTTACCCCAGGGCAGGGGAGTCCAAAACTAGAGGCCAAAGGTTTAAGGTGAGAGGGGAAAGATTTAAAAGGGACCTGTGGGGCAACGTTTTCATGCAGAGGGTGATGAGTGTGTGGAATGAACTGCCATGGGAAGTGGTGGAGGCTGGTACAATTACAACATTTAAAAGGAGTGGTATATGAATTTGAAGGGTTTAGAGGGAAATGGTAAGGTATTTCTACAGAACCTATGCATTCAACATTCCAGTATTTTGAGAAATGGACAGCAGGTTATGCTTTCCTTGTATCAATCTCAAATGAGTTTACTGCTTCCTAAACTGTACCACTGCCCCTCCAACTTGCCCAGAAATAGTTATGATACACAATGTGGATGGAGATCTGACATTATGGAACTCTGCCCGCCGTTCCAATAGAATCTTCTTGATCTGCCCCTTTAAATTGATTTGATCCAATCAGTAAAACTGTGTTGTCCAGCATGAATTATATATTTGTCAGAAGCTATTTACGAAGGTGGAGTGCTTCTGTGAACGTGCAACCAATCTCTATGTGTAGGCATCCAGTATGGGAAAATTATAATATTGTAATCTTATACTTTCTGAAATTTCATTCCCAGTGTATTTCTTGCTGGGTTCACCACAGTATTGGAGAACTTCAAAAGAATATGAGTGTATAAATGAATTAGCCAGGCGGATTGAATATTGCCTTGGTAAGAAATGATGATAAATGGGCAAGTGACTGTGTATTGGAAGTGGGAGTGTGGCACAGTCTACTAGAATTTCATGCATTTATTCTTATTTCTTTGTTATTAAGACTAAGTGGGCGTTATCATAAGCAGTTTCATTTGACAAATCACATGGGGAATTGAGGTTGGTTGGCTCGCCGAGCTGATTTGTTGTTCCGCAGACGTTTCGTTACCCTGCTTGGTAACATCCTCAGTGCAGTCTCTGATGAAGCGTCGGTGTGTTTTCCCGCCTGGTTTTTAAACTCTGGGGTCCGTTGCAATGGATTGCCTCACTTCCAGGTTTCCTCCGTAGTGGAATGTATATGGGGTCGAGTTCAATGTGTTTATTAATAGCATGCTTCGTGGAGTGTCATGCTTCCAGGAATTCTCGTGCTTGTCTCTGCCTAGCCTGTCCCAGGATCTTGGTGTTGTCCCAGTCGAAGTCGTGGTTCTCCTTGTCCATGTGGATTGAGATGAGTGAGTATTGGTCGTGTCTTTTTGTAGCCAGTTGGTGTTCATGTACTCTTGTTGTTCGTTTCCTTCCTGTTTGTCTGATGTAGTGTTTCTCGCAGTCTCTGCAGGGGATCTTGTAGATGGCATTGGTCCTGTCCATGGCGGGGAGTGGGTCTTTAGTTCGTACATGAACACCAACTGGCTACAAAAAGACACTACCAATACTCACTCATCTCAATACACATGGACAAGGAGAACCATGACTTCGACTGGGACAACACCAAGATCCTGGGACAGGCTAGGCAGAGACAAGCACGAGAATTCCTGGAAGCATGGCATTCCACGAAGCATGCTATTAATAAACACATTGAACTCGACCCCATATACATTCTACTACGGAGGAAACCCAGAAGTGAGGCAATCCATTGCAACGGACCCCAGAGTTTAAAAACCAGGCAGGAAAACACACTGCCACTTCATCAGAGGCTGCACTGAGGATGTTACCAAGCACGGTAACGAAACATCTGCGGAACAACAAACCAGTTCGGCGAGCCAACCAACCTCAACATCCACAACCCGAGCTACAGATCTACTCCAAAACCTTAGAAACATGGGGAATAAACGAATGAGAAATGGACATCATTAGTTAAATACTAGGAAATTGTTCTTACTTTACAAGTCCCGCAGTCTGTCCCCGTGAAACTGCTTGTTGGTACTGTTGCTGAGCAACTTCTTTCTCTTTTACAGCTCCCACATAAGTCACTCCATCTAGAGTCCTACAGAGAGAGAAAAACACATGGATTGTATAACACGGGTCTAACTCATTATTTTTATCTCATATATCCTCCACTGGTTTCTTCTTTTAATCCACTATTTTAATAATATTTATTCCGTTAAAGAAGGAATATATACTCTAATATGCTTATTAATTACTATATTACATCTTAAGACATCTTTGTCCACCCAGCAGGGTGATCCTGAAAAAACTGAGTAAACACTGTACAATGAATACAAAAAGAAAGAGTGGTGGTTTGTCTCACATATAGAGTCAAGGAGATCTCTAAAACAAACAGATTAGAAGGCCCTGGGCAGGCGAATTTTGGAGATGGAGAGAAAAGAGGATAGATTTCAAAAACAGGGAAGGGTAAATCCTAGAGGCATTGGAGATACAAATATCTTGGAAACTGAAAGAAAAAACATGATTTTAAGGGCGCAACAAAATTAGAGAGAAGTTTGGAATGACACTTGGGAGGCATAAAGTAGAGAGAAAAAAAACCATGGAAGAGACAATTTCAAGAGCATGGGATGTACAGCAGAGGAGCCAACATCAGTTGCAAAACTCTAAAAAACATTAACAGAGAATAAGCGAAGAAGTATTCTAGTCTGGACTAGATAGGATTAGCAGCTCATATTTAAAATCAAACAAATTGCAATCAAGTGCCAATTCTTATGACAGACTTACATTTTCAGTCGTGTGGCATTTCAGCAGGAGGATATAATGTAAGGAAAAATTACACCTTTTGCCAATGTGTTCCAAAAATAGTGTAGATAAGCACAATTCAATAATTCAATTTCATGTTGTAACTTGACTTTGTAGTAATGTCATAATGAGGTGTGGTGACCCTCAGGTTAAACCACCACCGTTGTCTCTCTAATATGAGAGCAGCCCAGTTGTCCTCTGTGGATATGGTGACTTTACCTTTTTTATGATATAAAGTACAAACTATTAATCTTTAAATCTCATTGTCAAGACTTAAAAGCAGGGCATTAAGTGGCTTCAAATGGCTATACAAGATGAAGTGACTTGAATATTAAAATTCATCTGGAATGCGTAGCTCCCACTGAAACCTTCAAATGTCTCTGGAGATGAGGATTGTCAACTACAGTACATATATGGATTGAAACCTCCCCTGCTTCCTCTAACTATATCAAATGATGATAGGGAACTCCGGCAATGGACCATAAAAACTCTTTTAAAAACAAATTGTCCCCAGTGTGGGTCAACAGCAAGGATTGACACATATAACCCCACCTCCTATGAGAACTCCTGATTATACACTTGTATCTGTTGCTACAGAAAGCAATAACATCATGAAGAAACATCTAATAACATTAAGTAATATCCAGTAACATCAAGAAGAAGAACTCTATATCTTTGGAAGTGGTGTACCTGCTTCTGCAAAAGAGATCAGCCCTGAGAGAAAACCAACTGCAAATCAAGATCCTTTAAGATGTGAAATCTGTCCCATACAACTTTCTCTGGAAACACAACCAACTCAACATATAATGCCTTAACTGCAGAATTGTGATTGTTTTTCAATTCCACCCAGCCTGACCCTGCGCCTTGTACTGTTGGCTTGAATGCTAGTGTGTGTGTCAAAGTTGGGATAGTATTTTTATCTTTTAAGGAAGTTTCATACTTCAGTGAAATGAAATTTAATAAATGAACTCCAAAGAGATCTGTTAGGTGTGTTCTTCATAGTTTTAATGTGTGTCCAATTGCGTATTGAATTGGGAAAAGAAAAATCTATTTAAAAGGTCAAAACTGTTGTACCAATCACAGTGAATGAAAACAGAGAACTTTATTCAGCTGCTTGGACTTGGTTATAGCAGTATTTGCCATTTCATCATTGAATTTGTTGCACAATTACACCTTTTGCCAATGTGGTTCAAAATTAGTGTAGATCAGCAGTCCATACTTTGAGGCAGACTTAAAAAACAGCCTATGGCTTCATTAGATACCAAACTGTCCCAGTTCCTATTTGATTACAGGACCATCCCTCGTGTAATTACAGGGATAGTTCCAGCAGAGTTTAATGGAGAGAAGACTCTGCACCAGGTTAAATCTGATCTTCCCAGAACGGGGTGGGGTGGGGGGTGCGGATGAAACCGCATCAGGAATGCCAACACCGGACACAAGACGCCGCTAAGCCAGAGAGACACTTTGCTTCAGGGACGAAGTGGTTTAGAAGCCATGGGAATGACATTGCATGGGTAAGAGGTATGGTTGACGTGAAGTCAGGTCCAGTGACATATAAAGTTCGGGTAGGTACGACGGTCCTGAACAAACGTGCAGACTATATGAAAATTGCAAATTCACAAATGGCGCATTAACAAATTGTGCCTGTCTCCTCGACTGCCTTTCTGACTGTACTGGAACCTGTGGGTTCTCCCTCTCCGTCAAACTTTGAAGATATCTTGGAATCAGGGATGGACAGGGCAGATGTCACCACCTCAATACCTTTGCCACCTGAAGAGGAGAATGAATGTTTTCCGAGATGCTTTGAGTGCAAGGGGTGAGCTACTGTACATTTCGTGCAACCCGTATCAGAGGTAGAGTTGGAAGAATGTGACCCAGTTCAGAAGGAGCTGGAAAAGTAAAGAATCGGCCTGTGTCCTCGGACTCAGAGGAAGGTGGCGGGGGGGGTGCGGTGGAGGATAGCGGGGATGTAGTGATTGTAACGAGGTCAGCCAGGTGGACTTCATAGAGTATGGGTTCCCTGATTAGGGTTGCTGATCTGATCCATCTGGGGAGCCCTGTATGACAGAAAAGAACGGGAGTGTCAGACATCGTGTTTATCTGAGAGCTGGCTCTGAGGGAGTTGGATCAGTGCCAAGGACTCTCCATGTGTAAATAAAGGGTTACTTGGTGACGCGATACTTGCCTCTGTGGAGTTATTTTACACAACAAAATTCAGGATCATCCAATCAAGTAATGGTCGCAGCCCAGAGTGGGCCATTAGGCTCTTCATGTTCATGTCAGCTCACCATGACAGTAAATCAGCTAGTCCTGCTTTCCCTCTGAAATGTTAAATATACTTATCTCTCCACAGATGTTGCCTGACCTGTCAAGTGTTTCTGAAGTTTTAGATTATTCATCGTAACTTCCTTGATTTTATACTTCATACCTCTATTTATAAAGTGTTTTAATTTTATTGATGACACTTCCCTTCTTTAAGCAAAACAAAATTAGTTTGTGGAAGTAGAATCATGTAGTTTTTTTTAACCTTTAACTTTATATACAATACATATATAAAATGTGACACTGTGCAAACAAACTTTCACACTGTGTAAATGGGTTAGGTAATCCTAATTAATTACTTTGACTGAATAATGTAATTGATACTCACATGCTGAAGTTGGTAATAAATGCCGTTTTGGGTAGTTCCATTTCAAAGAAAGCTTCCCTTGATTCATTGGCTCGATTCACTACCCGGCTGATTACCTCGCTGTGAGCAAATCGAGATGTGACTTTGCAATCAATCTTCATACCATAAATTTCAAGGTCCCGCTCAGGCTGAAGGAGATTAAGGAGTATTATATCAAGAAGAAATGATTGAAGCAAGAAACTAGAAAGATCCAATTTAAATTAAATCTGTGCTTTTATTGTTCCAGTGGAACAGTAAAGCATCTACTATTCTTTCTCGAATTGGTCATAGTGTACAAATGGTATCGTCAAATACATTTTACAAAATCGCAGCTTCAATATATCAAAGCAAGGTCAATCATACCATTTGCGGAGACAGAAAAGAATCCAATGTAACTGATAAAAACAATCACCCAGCATATTAAAATGAATGCAAATTCTTGCTGAAATAAACAGTCAGAGAAATCAAGCTTACTTTTTTGCCATGTTCACCAATGCTTCTTTTCTGTTGCCAATCAAAAAAGGACAAACACATCAATGTTACAAAATGCATCAGTTATATACACAAATTATACAAGCCAATGGAATTACAGAAGAAACTAAATTAAAGTACAAATTACATGTTTGATATTTATAAATATAAAGTATAAAAAGCACTGTACAGATTTCCTCTTTTCAAAGGTAGAATATTGATGGCATGACATTTGGATGGGGGGTGTTAGTTAGTCATTACTGGGGAGAACTGCAATAAATTGAGGACAGTAATAAATTTCAGAATGGTAAATAATTTGCAAATGAAATTCAGCATAGATAAATATGAGGAAGTAAGTTTTGGGTAGAAGAATAGGAAGATCTGATTACTTGGAAGGTGTATATTTGGTGTGGGGGGGCACATTAAGGAACAAAACAATCATGGTGTAGTCAACTAAAAGCTGCACTACAATTTAGGGAGTTCATCACAATATGAACAAGGACAAGCCCTTATTTAAGAGATGAAAATAATTTAAAATTAAGGAAATGCTAAAGGTAAAGTCACTTACTGGACCATAGGGCTGCTTTCTCATTCAACAGCATTAAAACCACTGTGGTGGTTTTAACCTGATGATCACAATGCTTCAGATGAGGGGAGACTTCACAGTAACAACAACCAGTGCAGAGATTGAACCCATGCTGTTGGTATTACTCTACATTATAAACCAGCTGTCCAGCCAAATGAGCCCTAAACCTGTGTTGAGCTTTACTTAGACCACATGTAGAGTACTGCATGTAGTTCTGATTATGAAAAAGATGGAGAGGAACAAGGGAGGGTGCAGAGATTTGCAGGGATGATACCAGAATGCATGGGTATACATGTCAGGAAAGAATTAATAGACTGGCTTTCTTTTCTCCTAGTGAAAAGATGAAGTGTGACCAAATAGAGCTTGTTAAAATTGAGTGATTTTGATTGAATGAGCATAGAGAGAATGTTTCTCCTATTGAAGAAAGGCATAACTAGAGGCAATCAGTACAAGGTACTTATGAAGAAATCAAATAGGGAATTCAGAAAAATTCCTTTCCCCAGAGAGTGTGGAACTCACTGCTATTGTGAATGGTTCAAGTACATAATATTAATTTAAAGAAAAACTAGACCAATATATGAAGGAGAAAGAAAGAGTTATAAATTTAGAACAGGCAATATGGGAGGAGGCTTGAGTGGAGCATAAACATCAAGATACACATGTTGGGCAAAAGGCCTTTTTGTATGCCCTATCTCCCGTGTAATGTACAATGGATCTTGATACAATCAAATGATGACATTGCAACAGTTTATCAGTAGTTGCATCTTGATAGTTGAGAATCTAATTCTAAAAAAGTAACCTGTTTGATAAAAATTAATGAATATCAATAGACGCTGCTGTGCATTCAGTGACATAACTTTGTGAATGAACAGTTATACCTCATGAATTCAATAGAGGCCAATTTGCCACTGCAGTGTAAGAATATATTCAAATTTGATTAATTTGAATGTAATAAGTAGGGTACCCCAAAGTGGCTTGTTCAGCTGGGGCTATGATTCCCACTTTGGGTGCAAGGTCCCAGACTCAAATCTTGGAGGAGGCCCTCTTGTGGTAGCAACCCTACCCCTGCACCAGGAGGTCTACGTTTAAGTCTCACCTGTTCCAGAGATGTGTAATAACATCTCTTCAACAGGTTGATTAGCAAAATAGCTTAAATAATAAAAAAAATTCTTCTCAATACCTTGGGCTATAATCAATTTGAGCTCAAAAAACTGAAACATTCAGTGTAATTGTGGTACGATACAAAAGAACTGAGATTTAGATTCTAAATAACTACTGTGATATGGTGTTATTTTGTGCAAATGATAACAAAATTATCCAAGGCTAAATCTATAGTAAAAACAAAAATCATAATACTAGATTCTTTAGTGCTAAACATCACCTTTAGTTTCAGTTTGCAGTTGCACTGTCAGCTATTGCCAACTAAGAAAAGTAAATCAAGATTCAGTGAAATGAAATAGTATCCACCATTAAAACAAGTTGAATGCTGCATTGTACTTATGAGTCTGGAAGCTTGACTGAGGAATCATAAATTTACTGTCACAAGCGATATAATCTGGAAAAAGTTACCTACATTGTTGCTTGTATCCTTTTATCAAAGGAAATAGGTAGTTTGAAAATAGTTTCTGTTGTGTGTGAGGCTTGCAAATCATGACTAGCAAGAACAATCTTTGGCAGTGAGAAAAACCCAGACATACTCAACAGTTGATCCTTTCATATTTTACTTGAAATGGAGGTGTCGGTGTTGGGCTGGGGTGGACAAGGTGAGAAATTGCACGACACCAGGTTATAGTCCAACAGGTTTATTTGAAAACACAAGCTTTCGGTGCCTCATTCCTTCTTCAGGTGTTAGTGAAGTGGTATTAGACACAGAATTTATAAGTAAAAGATCAAAGGGTCACACCACTGATGAGGATGTTTTAAACAAAGCTAAGATGCTAAGAGTCAGACTAGTTTTATTTCTAAAGTAGGAATTTATAAAATGCCACATTGACTGTCTATAAATTGTGTGCTTTTTGAACAAAATTGAAAGAATCTGCAAATATAAATTCACCCATGGATTTACTTGTGTGTGTGTGTGTGTGTGTGTGTGTGTGTGTGTGTGTGTGTGTGTGTGTGTGAGAGTGTATAGTGTGGTGGGGTCACCTGTAGTGCGACATAAACCCAAGATCCCGGTTGAGGCCATCCTCATGGGTACTGAACTTGGCTATCAGCCTCTGCTCGGCGACTTTGTGTTGTTGTGTATCCCAAAGTCTGCCTTGGAGGACGGTCACCTGAAGATTTGAGGCCGAATGTCCTGGACCACTCCCACACACGCACCATCTCTGTCTGCACCACGCACACGCACAAACACATGCACACACAATCTCTCTCCAAACACACACACACACACACACACACAGACACACACACACACACACACACACACAGACACACACGCACACATACACACACACACACACACGCTCTTTTTCTCTCTCTCCCAAACATGCGCGCACACATTCTCTGCCACGTGTGCACACACACTCTCTCCTGCACACGCACATGGACGCATACCCTCCCACACATGCACGCACACACTCTCCCGCACGCGAACACACACACACTCTCCTGCACATGAACACACACACACACACACAATCCGTCACACACACACACCCACGCACACACACGTACACACACACATACACATACAACCCCTCTCTCTCTCTCCCCCACCCCCCCCACCCCCCCACACCGCCGCCCGCCCTGAATCACACTGACACACACACACACACACACACACACACACAATCCGTCACATACACACACACAAGTAAATCCATGGGTGAATTTATATTTGCAGATACATTCTATTTTGTTCAAAAAGCACACAATTTATAGGCAGTCAGTCAATGTGGCATTTTATAAATTCCTACTTTAGAAATAAAACTAGTCTGACTCCAAACCAAAACACAAACACATATAGATTCTAAACATATAGAACCTCACACATAACATGCATTGTCTGACCTAAAATGTCACCTCTTCTTTATACTGATAAAACCTTTAATTCTCTCAGGCCAGTGACTTGAAAGGAATTCAGGGATTTGCATATACATAATAATCAATTAAAACCTTCTAACTGATTAAAGATTTAAAAGCATCTTAGGTTTGTTTAATACATCCTTATCAGTGGTGTGACCCTTTGATCTTTTACTTATAAATTCTGTGTCTGATACCACCTCACTAACACCTGAAGAAAAAGTGAGACTCCAAAACCTTATGATTTCAAATAAACCTGTTGGACTATAACCTGGTGTCATGCGATTTCTGACATTTAACTTGAAATAACATTTATATAGAGATTAAGTGAGGCACAGTATTTTACAAGTACAGTTTAGCTGCAAAATACCTTCAGGGTTCTTCCATCCAGTTCCAGAACATCTGATGAACTGCTCATATATCCATGCTGGCCAAAATAAAGTTTTAAAAAGTTAAACAGTCAGCCAATTAAAGAAGTTATTATAGATATTTAGTCGTATAAATTGTACATTACCTGCGGAAACTCTGATTCTGTTATTATGAAATCAGAGGATATTAGCGCTGGAATAGAAATTAGTAGAAGAAAGGACAGCATTGCCTTCATTTTGCTCAATGCATCAATCGAGGTACAAGAAGCTAGGTTTTATTCTGAACTCTGTTAATAAACAACAGCAGCATTGACTTGACTCCTGCTATTGCCAAAAACGAACTGACCCACTGGAGAATATGATGTAAACTGTGTAATTAAAGCAAACAAAGAAGTTTTTAGACAAATTATGAAACATGAACGTTCAGGGACAAGTACTAGTCTGTACTTAAGGGTCAGTACTGAAATATAAAAATACATTTTTAGTCACAGCAGCACATAATTTCACAGAGCATTTTTAAAATTCATTCACAGATGTGTGCATCACTAGTTCGGCTAGCATATATGGTTCTTTTGCCCGAGAGAATATCAAGTTGCCATTGTCTTACAAGACCATAGTACTGCTATCTCATAGTAAGTTGTCTTCATAAACTATTGAGACTATTGAGATGCAAATTCTGACCTAGCAACAGTGAATGAGTAGCAATACAGTTTCAAGCCAGGATGGTTTGGGGCTTAGCGAGGAATTTGCAGGATGTATTACTGCTCTTGTTCTTCTAAGCATCAGAGATTATGGTTTTGGAAGGAGTTTAAGGAATTTTGGTGTGTTCTTGCAATGCATCTTGTAGTTGGTACATACTGCCACTGTTCGTTGGTGATACAGGAAGTGAATGTTGAAGATGGTGGGTGGTGTCAAGTTTCTTGAATGTTGTTGGAGCTGCATTCATAGAGGAAAGCAAGGAATATACCATCAAACTCCTGTTTTGTGCCTTGTAGATGGCGAAGAGGCTTTGTGGAGTCAGAAGATGAGTTACTTGCTGCAGAATTCCATGCTTTTGACCTTTTTATAGGTACAGTCTTTAGATGACTGATCCAGTTGTTTCTGGTCAATGGTAACCCCCCATTTGGTAACATTATTGAACGTAAATGCACAATAATTGGATTTTTTTTGTTGGAGATGGTCATTGCCTGGCACTTGCACTGCACAAATGTTAATTGCCACTTGCCAGCGCAAGCCTCATCTTGCTGTATTTGAGCATGGACTCTTTCAGTTATCTGAGCAATCATAAATGTTTCTGAACATCGTGTAATCATCGGCAAACATCCCAACCTATGACCTTATGATAGAGAAAAGGTTGTTGATGAAGCAACTGAAGATGGTTTGGCCTAGGAAGGCATCCCTGAGGAACTCCTACAGTTATGTCTTGGATTGTGCTAGGAATTCTAACCAATGGACAGATTTCCCTCTCATTCTCAGTGACCCAAATTTTGCTAGGGCTTCTTGGCGCCACACTGAATCGAAAGCAGTCTTGATGTCAAAAACAGTCACCTTCACCTTCACTTGAGTCCAGCTCAATTGTTCATGTTTGAACCAAGGCTATAATGAGGTCAATAGTAAGTGACCCTTGTGGAACTCTAACTAAGCATCAGTAAACAGGTTATTGTTGAGTTGCTAAGTGATGCTTAGGGACACAGTAGACAATAACTTCCATCACTTTGCTAATATTTGAGAATTGACTGATGGGCTGTAATTAAACAAGTTATGTTTGACCTGCTTTATTTGTACATGGAATTCTTGAGAATCTTCCACAACGTTCATAGATGGCGGTATTGTAATTGCACTGGTGAGAGACACAGCTAGTTCTGGAGAATGTGTCATCGGTGCTATCACCAGAATGTTGTCAGGGTCATAGCCTTTGCAGTGTCCACTGCCTTCAGGTATTTGTTGGCAATACTTGGAGAAAATTGAGTTGGCTGAAGCCTGGTATCTGTGATGCAGGGGACCTCAGGAGGAGATCAAGTTGATTTGTCCACTAAGCAATTCCGGCTGAAGATATTTGCAAATGTTATCTTTTGTACTGATGTGTTGAGCACCTCCATTGTTGAGAATGGGGATATTTGTGGAGTCTCCTCCTCCAGTGATTTGTTTAATTGTCCACTCCATCCATGATGGCAGGACTGCAGAGTTTAGATCTGATCCATTTGTTGAGAGATTGCTTAAGCATGTCTATCACTGCTGTTTGACATGTAAGTAGTTCAGTATTGTAATTTTACCAGGTTGTCAACTCATTTTTAGATATGCATGGTGCTGCTACTAGTATGTCCTCTTGCCTTGAACCAGTGTTGATCCTCTGCTTGATGATAACAGAAGGAGGATGGTGGAAACTGACCATGAGATTACAGAAACACAGAATGAATACCATTCAGCTGCTGCTGATAGTCCAGACCCCCTGAAGGATGTCCAGTCTGGAGTTGCTAGATTTGTTCAGAATTTTTCACATTCAGCGCAGTGTTAGTGCAACAGATGGAGGGTATCCTCAATGTAAAGGTATTTCTACAAGGACTGTGCAGTGGGCATTCCTACAGATTCTGTCATGGAGAGATGCATTGGCACAGATAGACGGGTAAAGATGAGGTGGTAGGTTTTATTCCTTTTAGTTGGTTCAATCACCACCTGTTATATCTATGTCATTTAGGACTCAGCTAACTAGGTCAGCAGAGCTGCTGAGCCACTCTTGATGATGGATCCAGATACCCTTGCCATCCTTAGACCACCTCCAAGTGCTGCTCAAAATACAGGAGAATGGATTTATCTGCCAAGGAGAGGAGGTAATAGATCTTAATTAACAGGATTTTTCTTTGGCTTTGTTTGAGCTGGTGCAATGAGACTTCATTGGAGTCGAACGTCAATATTGAGGACTCCAAAGTTATCTCCTTCCAATGGTATACCAGTGTGCCATCTAATCAGCCAGAAATGTCCTTTGGTGTTATAGGTGTTTGTAAGGTGTGATTCCATGAGAATGGCTATCTCAGGATATTCCCTAATTTGAATATGGGGCAACTCTCAGACAGAGCCCCAGTTATTAGTAAGAAAGACTTTGGAGGGTTGACAGGTGTCAAGTAATTCATCTGGTTTCATTTTTTTCATCAAGTTTTGCAGCAATTGGATACAATTGAATTATTCGCTGAGCCATTTCTTTGTCAGTCTTCTGTGGGCATGGAGTCACATGTAGGCTAAACCAGGTAAGGATGGCAAAGTTCGTTCACTAAATGGAATTAGTAAATGAAATTTATTTTTAAGCAATGGCTGTCATCAACTGTGATAGGATTCAAACTCAACTCTAGAGCAATAGCCTGTGTCTCTAGATTACTAGACCAGTGTCAATACCACGATACCACCACTGATCTCCAACTGTAAGTAAACAATTTTAGGGCCAAGATGTTTGGAGTATTTGGCACAGCACTTCTAAGGAATAGTTATGTTGAGTCTCAGCAGTTTGAGTTCTTCGCTGCCTTGTAGGAGCAGAATTTCTATGCGTTCTTTGCAATCCAAGTAACAGAGACATGACAAGGAGTAGAGCAGTTACAACATTGGCATTTACCCTACAAAGAGAAAATTGCCCAGGTGTTTTCTAGTCTGAAAAGTGCAGGACAAATCCAAGTTGACCAAGGTCACAAGTGGGATATTCACTGTTGATTCCGCTATGTTCAGTACCATTCATCATTACAATGAGGAATAAATATCCATTTATGGACTATGACAAAGAGGAATATGGAACTGTTTGAATGTTTCTGGGTTGAAGAGGGTTTATCATGTGATTTCCTGGACGTGAAAATTGAAGTGATCAAAGAGAATTGTGGGTGTAGTGATTGTAAACAAGGTTGAAATAATTCCACAGTGGCCAATATCCCATCACCAAGTCACCCTTTATTTACACGTGGAGAGTCATTGATACTGATCCAGCTCCCTCAGAGCCAACTCTCAGAGTGAACAGGAACTCTGACACTCCTGTCAGCCAGGGCTCCCTGATTAGACCAGATTAACAGCCCCAATCAGGAAACCTAGGTGACCTCTTTACAGTCACTCCAGAAGTCAGCCAGGTGGACCTTTTGGCATATGAGTTCCCTGATTGGGGTTGTTAATCTGGTCCAATCAAGGAGCCTTGGTTGACAGATAAGTACAGGCGTGTCAGACATCCTGTCCTCAAGACTTTCCACGTGTAAATAAAGGGTGACTTGATGATGGGATACTGGCCTCTGTGGAGTTAATTCAGTGGTGAAGATAAAAAATCATGCCCGTGAAGAAGAAACAGTCATCTTTGAATTGGAGTAAACATTTCTGACAACAGGCCGTTATTGGGAAACTTGACTTGTTCGATCCTCCTGCCAAAGAGTGGGCCCAGTATGTGGAAAGAATGCGTTATGTTTTCCAGGCAAATGACACTGGGGCAGATGAAAAGCAATGAGTAATTCGGTTGACTGCTTGTGGACCCACAGATTTTTTTGGTTGTTAGGAGCCTAACTTTCCCTGAGGCACCAGATACCAAAACCTTTCAAGATTTGACAGATTTAGTTAAGGAATATTACAACCCCAAGCCTCCTCTAACTCTGAAATGGTATCAGTTTTAGTCAGCAATTTGAGATCCGAGGAATTCATATCAAGATTTTTGACTAGGTTAAGAAGTCTAGCAGAGGCATGTGACTTTGATTTAATCCTTAATGAGATGCTGAGAGACCGTTTGGTATGTGGGATTAATGATGTAACCATGCAAAAGTGCCTACTAGCTGAAGTGGCAAGTGGAGCTTATGAGTTGCAGGGAATTCTGGTGGAAGTGGACACCCTCGCCAATCTGACTGAGCTTGGGGAACACCACTTGGGTGGAGGCAATTGCATAGCCTCACTCAGAACATATCCTGAACAGAGGGACTCTAGGTCATCCCACAGCAAAACCTCAAAACAAAGTCAAGCCTTGGCCATACTGGTAAAATTTTCTTCAGGATACAGACCGGCAAGCCATTGTAGTCGCTGCTGGTACGTTGACTTGAGACAGCAAAAAATTCCACCTTGACCGAAATTGAGTAAGAGAACTCATAGGCCATTATCCAGGAGGGGCCACACCCTGGAAAATCCACCTACATCTGGTTTGGAAAAATTAACTTGCTTAGCAACATCTAAATCCGAACCAATCAAAATAAATGTCTGGTTAAATGGTCACCGTGTTCTTATGGAGGTTGATACCAGTGTGGCTGTTTC